CCCCCCCATCCCGCAGCAGATGCTGGGGCTCGGGGGGCGCATAAATCTGGGGAATTAACTTGTCCGCCCCGCCGAGACGGAGGCGCTGGGGCTGCGCCTCGGGTTACCGCCCAGAAATACCTTGTCAGCGGCTTCGCCCGCGGCCCGGCTCGGGGGCTCGGCGGAACCCTTGGGAAGGGGAAGGGATTGGGTTGCAGCCCCCCAGGCTGGGGGCGCAGGGGGATGACAGCCGGCAGCTGCACAGCCAGCCCAGCCCCAGCCCCGGGCAAGGGGCACGGGAGCGGATTTGGGGCTGGAGGCAGCGCCCTGAGTGGGAAAGACACCTTCCATCCCGCACAGGGTGGCCATGCAGTGCTCATCCCCGGAGAGCTGCCCTTGGGTTTGGGGGGGCTCCCAGCACTGCCACCACCACAAATCCCCCAACAGCATCTCGAGGCGTATAGGGAAGCGCTGGCCCTCGTCAGTGGATAACATCCCCCGTGGCTCCCGGGCAGGGGATGGCAGCCCCACAGCCTCCCGCTGCCAGCACGGTAACCCTGACACGTGCCCGGTGCCCCGCCAGCACCCGCGGCCGTATTTCTTCCCAATTACAAAGACAACTGCCACACAGCACCACAGCACAGGAGGAGACCCTGCGGCGACAGCCCATCCATCACCCCGCACACACCAACCATATTCTGCTTCTTCCAGCTGCTGGGGCTGCTCAAGGCTCCCTGCACATCTCCCAGTGCCACCCGAAAAACCTCACCTCCAACATCAGCCAAACCCGCCCTGCTCAGCACACAGCCCTGCACATACACACACTTACCACTCTCACAAATCCATGTTTTTCCCCCTAAACCCTACCCAGAAAACACCCTGCAGCCATCACCAGGGTGAGCCAGGCTGTGCGCCCAGGGATCGGGTTCGGCAGGAAGGAGGCAGAGCTGGTGGCACGCCAGAGGGTGACCTTCGTCTTCAGAGGAAGCTGAAGGTCGGGGGCACAGGGAGGGACATGTACTTAAGGGTCCATATCCAGCCTGACTGACACCTGGCACAGTCTGGTGTGAAAAGAAATGATCTCACAACAACATTACTGCGATTTCAAACTATTTATCAGCACATATATATATATACACACACACAGATATACGCACACACATGTTTATATATAAATGTGTATATATAGACAGCCCTATATATAGATACACATACCTGTCAGGGTCAGGGCACTCAAAATCTTGTTTACTTCTTCCAGCTGTAGTGGTTGGCCTGGTAAAATCTGTGACTTCCACTTAGCCAGCTCATCTTGATTATTTAATTACATGCACACACTGACATCCAGATCCATGAGCAGGGCAATGACCTAAAGGGGGTATGATCCTCTTCCATGATGTTTGCACTGGGCCTTATATCTCAGCACAGCTGAGGCACACGCAGAGGCACAGCCATCTCACTGGAGGAGGATTTCTCCTTTTGCATCTTGCTCTAAAGGCTGCAGCTGCCAAAGGCCCAGTGCCTGGGAAATCTCTGTTCTCCATCCAGGTCAAGGAGACCATAAACCATTTCTGCCACTGTAAGTTTAGGTGAAAGTAAAAATGTTTAAAGTCTTCATTGTGGGGGTGACTGGGCACAGTGGCAGCCCAGGAGCAGGAAGGAGGCACATGCAAGTCCCCAGGGGAGATGCCTACCCAAAGCTGCCATGCCCAGAGGTTCACCAGCAAGCACAGCCTCTCAAATTCTGACCCTAATATCCATCTCCATAGTTTCCACCAGCTTTTCTGGTGCCATGTCACACACACTTCTGGACCAATTTTCCCCCTTTCCCCAATGAAGAAATCCCCAAACCCCCAAATTCCTGTAGAGTGAGGCCATTGAAAAGGCTACCAAGAAGGTGACACCTGCTGGGTGGGCTTGCCCAAGCTGGTCCTCTAGACCTGCTGTCAGTGGCAACCCCGCTGTGCTGTACATTCACAGCCCTTTCTGGAGGAGCTCTGCGAGACAGAAAAGCCCTTTTGGATCTCATCCGCAGCACTCCCCACTTTTCCCTGCTGTGGGATAGGACATGGATACGCTGCCTGAGATGAAGGCTCCTGCCCATCTGCAGAATCCCATCACCCTCCTCTGGGGACCCCAATGCCCCCATCAGGGCTGTAGCCCCGACAGCCACTCTAGCCACATACATTGGGAAAGATGTTGTCCTTATGGCACGCTGCACATTTTCATCCTCTCGATGAAACCCTAAGAAAGAAAACTCCCAAAGTGTCCTCTGGGCATGAACTACATTCTCGTGGGTTGTTTTCATTTGAATCTATTCACTAACACAAGGCATTAACTTTAATTTCAAATATACCAAGTCCCTATGCAGTGTAACTCAGTTAAAAGAAAAAAAAAACCAGATAAGGCTTAAATCTAAATAAATAAGTAGATCTAATAGTCCATTTCCTGGAATAATCCAGTATAATTGCCTTTGGCAGTAGCAGCCCTTACATACACACCAGCAGCTTCTGAAGCCTAATGCTGATGTTATGTTACCTAAATTATTCAAGGCTTGGTTACAGAGAAAACTTTTAGCAAATGGGGAGGATAAGTCGGGCTTCAAGCGTAAAATTTCTTGTTTGAAGAGGAGAAGGGCTTTTCTGATCCTCTGCTTGATCTGCTGCATAACACAGGGCCAGGCAGGAACGCTCCCCCTCCCAAATGCCAGCCCAGCACTGTTTTAATTGCCCCTCAAAAATATGCAAGGCAAAACGTGACAAGACATAAAACAAGCCAGCAGAGCTCTGTTCAGCCAGCCTGCGTGTGAAGCTGCAGCCCTGGCCGTGCCCAAGCTGCCGCCAGCCCTGTGTTTACAGGA